AGGAGAAGGACAAGCAAGAAATGCGTAGGAGGAAATGCGGTGCTACTAAGCTGACCAATCGTAGTTCTTGCAGTCTGCTTGGATGGAACGTGTAGTTACATTTTTTGGGAGGTGCACACCAGGCTACGGCGTAGGGTACGCAGCTGCGGAGAAGAAATATAACATGGCCTTTAAGTCATACTGATCACAACTCACACAGAAACCATAACCTGTGACAATGGCTCACAATTGGAAACAGCTGATTAATTGACAAAAAAAGTGAAATCAACGGAAAGATGAAAGACACGGTTGCTCTTATTGAGATTTTAAGTTCCCAACAAAGTGCTGAAGATGCACATGAGGCGCTGATGGTAATGACTATTAAAAGAGAAGAGTGTCAATTAACTGCAGGGTAAAGTTTTTTAAAGCGGCCTAGGAAGTGCCATTGTTTGACAAGTTTGTGTCAAACAGACATATTTTCCTGTTATTGCACAATGCAGGTGGCAAACTACAATAAAAAAAATAAAACCCAGAGCGCATCAGGACGTCCTTGGAAATAATCTTATTAGGCGCGTGCTTTTTCATCATCTAATTAGCTGGAAAGCGGAAATTCCCCGCAAAGACAACAATCCAGCCTAAAACCATTCTAGCATCAGTCAGGTTTAATGTTTGTGTAATGTTGTTTTCCATGAATTGAACATCAGGACAGGCTGTGGTTAAGGGTTGGGCTAGCTGACCCCTTGTCCCCGAGGTTAAAAACTACACTGATTGCAAACCAAAGTGACGCTCTTCTGCCTGGTGGCGGGGGCAACCTTCCATCTCCGCCACAACCGCTGACATCTCAACATGTGATCTCTCCCTCCTCCCTTCATCTCATTCCGTCTTTCCCATTTCTGAACTCTTTTTTTCAATCCTGGAAGGCATAACAAACATACTTGTCCCTGGTCTGAGGCTAAAGACATCACTTTGTGCCACATCACTTTATTTTTCTGAAGAGAAGTGAGAACGTGTTTATAACCCGTGTGTTTATTGCCAACTTGTTCTTGATGCCCTTTGGCCATATGACTGGTCTAATTGTGTGTTATGCACTGTGACAAATTGCTTATTAAAGTTGTGGTTTGACTGAAGTTGGCGCTGATAGGGAGGGAAAAGGATGGATAACGGGACGGACAGACGGACGGACGCGTGAGTCCTTGGTATATGGTGGTGAGAATGGTACTGAGGCACAACAAATTAAGCACGATTACCCATGAATATACGATCCCACACAACTTTGGAACACTAAGGAAAATCTTAAAAGTTTCTCTCAAAGGCTTAGTGTCTTTATGTTTAAGTTTCAGTCTTTGTTACAAAAACCTTCAAATGTGTCCTAAAAGTGCACCTAAATGATCAACAGTTTATTCGAATATTCCTAAAATCATATTACATAGATCAGATACATAAAATTTTTTAAGTCACACATTATGAAATAATAACCTTAACCCTCACCTAATCTAAACCTGTCCCCCTTTTATTTTACCTTAACCCAAAACCTAACAAGACTTTCAATCCAAAACATTAAATATCTTTTAAGTTTCTTTTCACTATGTTGTATGACTTGAAACTTGTACATGTTTAAGCGACTCACTGCAGTTTAAGAGACAAGCTGAACTTGGAAATCTGTATCGTGTCTCACCCAGACGTGCAGAAGTGAGTGAAAAGGTAACTTACTAGGAGAGGATGGATCCCAAAGTACATGAAAGCATCGGCTAAGGTGAACTGGTTGCCAGCCAGGTAGACCTTGTCTTGCAGGTAGAGGTTGAGGTCCTGCAAGAATGAATTTCGCAACATAATCAGTTGTGCAAATGAGGTCATTCACTTCTGACTCTTTTGTGTTACAAACTCAAACAAGAGAAAGTAAAGTGAATGTAAAATGTTATTGTTTGCTAAATCTGACTCTTGATGGACGCTACAGACCTAAAGGAAACTGTGACAGCAGGTTCGTTAACCTATATATCTGTGGGTGCGTGTGGTGCATGAATCTGGATTCAAGCTCGCGTGTGTGCCTGTGCTGTGCCATGTGGATAGGAATAATATGTAACCTGAGGGGATATAGCATCTCTCCACATGCCTGCCGACTTAGCACAGATGCTGTATTTGTTTACTCCACTACCAAATGACTACAACTCTCGCTTGGAAATCTAATGAAGCTGTCCTAAAACTTGGCCATCGTGAAGTGTATTTCTCAGTCCATGTCTGTGTGTGCAAAGTCGTGCATGGAAGTGCTGGTCCCAGGGGAAGGGACCATCTTTAGCACTTGTACATTGTGCGAAGGGAACACTCCCCGCACACAGAGCATCTTGGGGGCAAATGGAGTTATTGTGCGGCAAGAGTGGGTGATGCCAAACAAGGCATGAAGACTGCAGACTTCCTCCCCTTCCACCATCAGATCCTTGCTTTTCTTAGCCTACAGCCATGGAGCTGAAGCCCAGTCGAGCATCAGAGGAGAGGCAGCTCTCCCGCCACCCCCACCCAGCACATGGAGCGCCAAACCTGGGTTCCTCTCTACCTGCCCCCGCCTTAACTGGGCACCTTTTTTTTGGCCTCTGGATAGGTTATGTACAGCGTGTTCATTTTTTTAAATGAACTAATAAATAACTAATAATACAGAACAAGAGATACTTCACTATGTCTTTGCACCCATTTCTTTCTGATGTACTTTTCTAAAGTTGACAGTTGTTGACTGCTGATTAAAGTGTCATTTTATCTGCATGTCACATCGGCAGAAACGATTCAGATATAATTTTAAAGCCTTTACCGGCCGATAATGGCCATGTCGTGCATCCCTGCCTGGGCGATCAGACGACCATTACGGTCGATGCCTAGGTCAGAACTCACAAAGTTGTAATGCTCAAATGCTAGGGGTATAAAGGTACACAAAAATCCCGGTTTGGTATGTACCTCGGTTTTGAAGTCACGGTTTGGTTTATTTTCGGTAAAGTAAGGAGAAAAAATGCAAACATTAAATTGCTGCTGGTTTATTATGAACTTTTGCAAACATCCAAATTAGTTTACAATTTTTTCAACAAACTTTCAAATTACACATAATCATTAAGTTATATAAAATAAAAAAGAAATATACTAGTATCCTAATAAATTACTGCTGCAAACTACTACCAAGTTCTCCACTACAAAAAAAACTCAATAAAATACCACACATAGCTAATAAAATATAATAAAAAAATATAATAATATGGATTACAATACAGCATTCTTCTTATTTATTCCGTCTATGAGCATTATCAATCCCAGCTTGAAGGCCTGCTCAGATAAAAAAAATATTTTCTGAAGTCTAAAGTCTGTTGCCATAAGGCGTTTGTACTGTGCTCGTTTTTTTCCCCTTGTTGCAGTGACGTTCTCCTTCGTGCAATACCATTAGTGAGTTAGCACGTTTGACGTGTTGCCAGAAACATACCTGATCACTAGAAATGTCGGCCCACTGCTTTCTTCTTATCGACTTGTCCGTTGTTGTATTTCACTAGGAAACCGAAGTGTTCCCAAACAGAAGACCTTAAGGGAGGGTTTTCAAGCTCTGGCTTCTCTACACTGGCCTTGTGTAGAGCCGTAAGATGGAGATTTGGTCCGCCACTTAATATGTCTGTCTGGAAACTCGAAATTTACGTACCTTCCACACAAAACAAGACTAATATTTAACGTTAAAGATTGCATTCGGTGCACATGTGCACCATTCCGAAAGTCCTGCACCAAAACAGTCCGGTACGAATACATGTACCGTTACACCCCTATCGAGAATACCATTAAATGGTTTGAGGAAAATCTGAAATTAATTATGTTTTCCGTCTTTCACATAAATGGTGCAAATACTTCTGTCAAAAACAGAGAGCAGTCATAATTCAGAAATTGTAAAGTCTGTAATGCAGTACATCGACTTCAAGAGGTTGATGTTCGACCCAGATGTAACTGTTTGCTTCAAAAAACCAATGATAATTGTCAACTTCTGTGGCAGCAGGAAGTCACCCAGTACTAGTGTAAATGCTTTAAGGTGTAATCACAAACTTTCCCAAACATTCAGCTAACTTTGGGTTCATGGCGAAATGTGCTTGTTTATCATACCATTACATGAGTGACAAGATGTTCACTTCAGAAACAACTGTCAGCTTGAAAAACTATGAATTTCTCCTGGGGTGATAAAGTTTAAGAAGTCCTGCAGTTGACAGTTTTTATCTCTGGATAATTTAATGGGAGATGACTAGTGTGCTTGAAAGAAGAGTGTTAAGGATGGAGCTAAAACAGCAGGACAGGACGGGGCCACCGGGCACCAGAGCTGAGCTGCTCAGGGCGACTTCCTTCTGTAAGTGGCACCATTAAAATATTTAAGAGGCCTGTCCAGATAACATGCTGCCGCACAGCATGACTCCTCAGCCATGCCACAACAGTGTGTCACACTGAGATGTGCGCACACACACACTTCATGCTGACATGACAGTGCCAAGAGGCGCCTAGTGTCCAGCAGACCAGTGGCTGGCGATCCATTTCACGCTGGCGTCAGGCACATTAACGCATTTTTCTCTGTCGTGCGGGGCCATGTCACTGAAGGGCCATACATCAGTCTGTATTCCTGTCACTTGCCTTAACAAGACAAACACATACGCACAGTTGCCTACAGAAGTGAATGTGAGAGAAACTGAGATAATGTGGCGCCTGTTAAAAGGTAGGGATGAATGATTTCCTAAAATCCTATAAAAAAACAAAAATAAAAAACAGAATTGGCACAAAAAAGATTTCAAAGACTTCCTTGAATATCAGCCTCTCTACCTTCAGGATGGTCTTGCTGTCTTCCTTTGTGCAGCCATTCAGCTTGGTGACTCTGTGCTCAAGCCACTGCTGTACCACAGCCCTGCTCTCTGCAGAATCACCCAGCAGCTCTGGGCGCTTCGCCTCTTTCACTAGGTGACAGGCGATGGTCACCAGCCCCACCAGTGGAGGACCATTATTATTCTGTAGCACAGGCACCTGCGTGGAGAGGTGAGAAAGATGGGACAGAGAGGGGGCAGAGAGATGGAGAATTGAGCTCCATTTTTAACTTAACATCATACATATTTGCTTTGCAACGCCTTAAAGAATACCTTCAGTTCCAAAGACAGCAAAATGCCCCCATGACAACTTTACACATTCAAAAATGTTTTTGTTCTGAGGGAGTGTCTCATACATACAGCGATGATGGACATTTCATTTGATTCTGATAAAAAAATATACATTAAATGTAGTGAGAAAGCTCGGGGATAGCATCACAGTCATCTCTACATAAGGTGCAATTGACTTCACAGCGCTACAGCAGAAGACACCGACTCCTCCCCTCACGTTACCTCTATGAACGTGCATGCGCACAGCATGGAGCTATTTCTATTGTGCTGAGTTGTGGAAACAAGATAACTGGCATCAAATGTTGCTGCCTGGATCTGCTCTGAGTATCAGCTTTACCGATGAAAAAGATCACTGACTATCAACTGATAACAAGGTAGATATGCCACGAGAACTGCCTATATTTTCAACACACATGACTAGCTTGTTAGCATTGCCTAGCTAGCTACTGTGTGCTAATTACACTAGCTTTCAAGCTTTCTATAAAATAAAATAGCGGTTTGAAGCCAACAGTGGACGCCCGAAAGATGCGCAGTCATGTCACCTTTTTATCCCCCCGTGTACTGTACTTGTTAGGCTTTTTCAGTCCTAAGTATTTCTCCAGCGACGACAGCTCCCGTAGCGCCATGTTTCTGACTGACTGTCGAAGGGGCAGTGCACTGTGCGTGCGAGCTGATTGGGTAAAAGACTCAGCCCCCGCCCACGACAGTTGGACTGACTGTAGAGTTAGCCAATAAAGACACAGCATGCGAGCCTGTCAATACATTGCATCAGTGAACAAGCCGCCATGCTTTCAATCAAGTAAAATATTAATTCGACAGTGAGTAAACTTGACAAGTGGATTTGCCAATTAATACAATTAAAGTAGTTATGTTATCAGTTTAACACTTAAAATTAATAATTTTTCATTTGTTTGATCGGCAATATCAGTTATAAAAATAGGGACTTAGGACCACAAAGTTTTATGTCAGGATGGAGAAGATTGATTCACACTGTAAATGGCTTTCTGAGCATGTTTGCCCCCATACCAAAATAAACCCCAACTACTTATTAAATTTAGCTTCATTAAATACACACACACACACACACACACACACACACACACACACACACACACACACACACACACACACACACACACTGCACCCTATCAGTACAGTATGCTGTTACTGGATATGAGCATTCCCTATGGGCTCAACTCTGTAATCCAAACACCCTCCAGCAACTCGGGTCAAAAATGATTGTTATGCAATCCTGTCTGTTTTCACAGAACTTCTCCATGAGGATTTGTGGTTAAATGGAATCAAAATGACAGTGGAAGGTCTGGAGTCTCAGTCTGAAGTCCTGCAGCAAAGTTTCCCTGTCCCATCTGTCTGTCTCCGCTGTGACATTGTGTGTGTCGTGTCTGTGTGGATATACGCTGTGCCTCTACGATTTCTCCATAATGAAATGTCACCTGTCAGTCAAAACTGGGCTTTTTAACTACATACTGTCCAAGTGATTGTGTGAGAGTGTATGCTTGTGTGTGTATGTGTGACACCATAGAGACTGACAGCTGGGCTGAGGTGTCACACTAGAAGCCTTCTTCTCATCCCCAGCGGTCCCACTTTGTAACAGCTCACCTGCATGACGAGGCTCGAGGTGATGTCTGCAGCAATACCAATCAAATTCATATTTTGGATTTTTATTGACCTTACTTAGACTACAATAAAATATACAAGAGAAGATTGAGTGAGACAGACGTTGGCGAGGCCAAACTGAAGCCCACTGTGGCGACTTTGTACTGTAGTTTTTTAGGCTGCATGTACCTACAGTGGCTGTCGGATTTATGCCATGGTTGAAAATGTAGTCAGATCTGTAAGTAGATGTAGGAATACCACAATTTCAAAACACTACATTACAGGTGAAAGTCAAAATTTTACTCAAGTAAAGCTACAGTACAGGAAAAAGTACTCATTATCCAGGAATAGTTGCTGTTATATATACTTATATTGTATAATAATTATTATTATTATTATTACATTATTATACATTATAATTTTTTTTTTGGAAATCGTAATCTGCAAAGAAACAAACTAAAACTGTCAAATAAATGTAGTGGAGTAAAGTATAGTAGCAAAAAGTAATGTAATGTGAAGTACACAAGCACAGTTCTGTATTGGTGTAAATGTTCGTATGATCCTTTCCACCACTGGGTTTGTGTACAGGAGCCAACTTAAGTGGAGGAAATAATTTTCAGTGCAGCACAATACACCAGGCATTTTTTTCACAGCAGACATTTTGATTAGTCATATTAGGATTAGCACAGGTGTTACTAATTACATTAAGGGACACTTTCCTATAGAAAGTGTCCCAGCAAGCCCTGACAGTGTGACTGTGAGTCATTCATTTTATCATTTACACCTGCGCTTTCCCCACTGTGACACGTTAAAATATGTTCCATGAAAAAGGCGTGCGGCCAACAGCAGTATCCATTAATAAATAGTCAAAGTATTTTATATTTGTCCATATTTGTCTGTTTTTAGTTGAACTTTTGTGGCTAAGCTTAACTTTTTTTAGGCAAGTGTAAAGAAAACTGCACCATTCAGCTTAATATAATATAATAAAATACAAAAAAGTCTCTCTGTGTTTTACCTGGTTGTCATTATATATACTCAGTAGTCTTGTGGTCTTCCAGATTATAGTATTTCCGGTGCTGTCATGCTTCTTTAACTTAGCATAGCAAGTCAATTGTGTTCACCAGATATGATAACATAATAACATAACTATGAATACCTGGGTCATACTCTAGTCTTGCACTGCAATTTAAGGTTGAGTATCTAGGACCTCTTGATTCTCATATGGGCAGCAGCTGGGCTTCACGTGAACTGCTTTCAGTGACGTTTATTGCCTTGCATATATCTACGTATCCACATCTTTCCCTTTTCACTGTGTGTACTTAATATAAAAGAACAGATGATATTTTTAAACCCAATTTGTTGAGTAAAAAAGCTCGCCCAAAAAACAAATTAATTATAAGAATGAGTACACAGACTATCACAAATGATTAGATGGCATGGAACAAGGTGAGGCTAATTCTCTGTTGTTTTTTTACTTCATGTAACCTTCCACTTTTTCTGTTTGTTTATAGGCTATAGCACGTCATACACTTTTATCCGAGTAGGGCTTCCATAAATGCATGCCTGCAGCATTAAAGTGCGTCTCCTTTAACTAAATGCCTCCAAGCTGCCACATCCTGTCTGTACTCAGGCGGGCTGAGGACAATGATCCCCAGTGCCCAGGACTAACTGTAGCCTGTGGGAGTTTTCTCATGCCGATTGTGATACACAATCTGGGGTCACATTAGTAAGGAAATCTACAGTGGGGGTCACCGATAGTGCCGTGGGGCTTCCCAAGGCAGGCATAGCCATAAACACAGCCTCAGTCCTAGTAGATATATCCCCCTCTGCTTAGTCTGTAGCTTACAATATGCTGTTACACTGATTTGTCTAGCCGGGATGCAGAGCCACAGCCCTGCCTGTCTCCTCTGCTACCTTTCAAGACCTGTGAAAGCTCTCTGACTGAATACTGTATTTTAACCGCACAGATGCTCACACAAGGAGAGGGGAGGGATTGGTTGTGAGTAGTCGACATGAACGCTGTCAGCACGGATTGGTGAAATTGCATATTGGTGCTAGGTCGGTTCCCCAGCGTGGAGTGAACACGGGGACGGGCGTCAGGCGGCTAGGTGACATTTTGGGAGAAGGCTGTGAGATGTGAGATGAAGACAGACAGATGTCCGGGTTCGTCTGCTGCCTGTACCTTCCGCTCCTATCAGGATTTATTTTTGATTTGATCTTGTCCAAAGAGCTTGATGTGTGGTTGACGTTTTGAAGAAATTAACAGGAAAACAGATTTTGGTGAAACAGTTTGTATAGTGCAGTGAGTGATATGATAATTATAATATGAGCATTTTGGCAGTATTACATTTTGGTATAGCTGTAAAATACATATTGTTGAGGGTTTTTTTTTTCTCCTTTGCAACAGAGAATAAAGTCAACCAAATTAGCCCGGTCTCCCTAAAGCCTAAGGTGGAATCTTTAATTTTATAACTAACAGTCCAAACACCAAATATATTAGTTTACTAACAATGAAAGAAAAAAGCATCAAACCTCACATTTGAGAAACTGGAATCACAGAATATTTGCCATTTTTACCAGAAAAAAATATTATTCAATTATCAAAACATTCGCCAATAAATGTCCTTTCAATCAACAAATATATTAATTGTTTCACTTCTAGTTTTAAGTTTCCTGTTTGGAAACTTAACCCGAGAACAAAACCTAAATCTCATCTCCATGACGTGTTTCTCATTCATTTTCAAGCCAGACCTACTATACAGGAAGTCACTTTCAGCCAGTGTAGCAGTAGTCCGCACAGTGTGTCTTTTGGCTCCCGAGCTGCTGGCTCTTGTAGTGGAGGAGAGTGAGAGGATGCCAGAAATGTCGCACCTCCAGGCAGGACCTTTGGGCCTTCATGACGACAACAGTGATGGGATTATAGGAACCACCCTGCTGCTCCATGCAGAAACAGGCCCCCAAAGGCTAAAAACAACAAGCTGGTCCCCCACTCCATCACGCACAAACACACACACAGGCACACATGCAAATGAGTGTATGTTCGAATATGTTTACAAGGGGGATGGAAGGGTTGGATGAGCCAGTGACGGGAGTGGAGTGATGACATTTTTGTGGCATTTCATGTGTTTGCCTTAACATTTGTGACACAAGATTACCATTGGAAGGCGTGTGTGTGTGTGTGTGTGTGTGTGTGCGAGCAGAAGGAAGGTGGCTGAGTCTCTGGCTGATCAAGAAAGGCCCCGGAGACAAACGAACAAGTAATAAAGGCACTTTCTCCATTTCCTCCTCCTCTGCTTACATGCCAACCCACAAGGCTGTGGGACACACTGGGGGACACAGTACCAGCTCACAGTAACAACAAACCCTGTCCCTGCCTCCCATCCAGCAGCAGTCACTTAGGACTATTAATTACCGCTCTGAATTTCCTCCTCCTTACCCGTAGCCATCCGTGTCCCCCTCAGACAAACAACCTCGGTGGGAGGATCTTGATTATTATAGCTTCTGAAAAGTCAGATTGTCTTTTATTGAAGTTGCCCACTGGCCATGCAGGTTTCTCTCCATCTCCCTCTCTCTGTCTCACCCTCGCTTGGTGTCTCTCGTCCATGATTCAGACAAAATCTTGGTGGAAACCGTGATGCCAGAGCTCTTGCCGTGGCCGGGAGGTTGATGAGGGAGACTCCCGTGTTGTTGGAGGTTAAAGCATGCACACAACACACACATATACACATGGGAAGCTCCGGCTACAAGCCGCAGCCTCTGTGTGCAGCTTCACAGTCATTCTGTCCTTCACCAGCAGGGAGCACTGTGGGTCTTTCAAAAATCACAAAGTCCAGCTCTCTTCATCGTCCATCTGTGCATCTAGACCAGGACTCTGCCTTGTAAAAATGAACTTTTCTATCTGAAATAAGAAAGCGACTATTAAAAAGATATGGGATCATGTGGAACTTATAGGAGTATTGAAACCACTGTAAAAAATAATGAAACCAATATGTTCAGTTTATTATGGCAAAGACAATGGGCCACTTTTAATGTCTTTTAAGAACAATTTTTATTATAATTCTACATTAGAAAGTACTTTATTATACTGTTTTTAAGACTTAAATCTACGCGTGTTGACAAGAAAATGCACATGTTCTGCACATGACCTTATATCTCGTCCTTGTGAATAGAATAGTTTGGTTACATCAATATCAGAAAAGAGACAGGTTCAGGTGTGGTGTTAGGCACCTTGCAGTGGCCTCTTTTGTTAAAGTGCCCTGCTCCGGGGCACATTAATGACTTATCTTTTTTTTTGTTGTTGGAGTTTTCAAAAGGTTAAATTGAAACTCCATCCTTTTGATTGCGAAGTTTAAAATGTTTAAGAATCACAGGCGTATGAGAACACATTTGGGAAACCTCTGCCCAGGTCCTAATCCTCCCGCTCATCCGTCTTCATGTCTTTAACCCATTAGTTTGATTCACTACCTCTGGAGCGGGAAAGTGAAAGCTCAGGCCGGCACTTGTCTCTCCTATGACTGCGTCCACTATATCCCTTTCGCGTGGCACTTTATGGCCTGCTGGAGAAGGGTAGAAGGGGCATGTATGTGTATGCGTGTATGTGTGTGTGTGTGTGACTGAGAAAGAAGGAGATTCGGAGGGGTGGGGGTTGGTGGGATAGATATAGGGAGATTCAGAGGGTTATTTGTCCCTCTTCCCCTTACTGAGAGCTAGGAATCATGGTCTGCATGACAGGTCGCCAGCCCCCGTCGGGGGTGATCTATATGAGACCCTCTTTATTGGCAATTTCAACCCAGGGACAGATGAGACTGCAGCCAGCCAGCCGGACAGCTAGACTATGATGAAAGCGCCCAGGACTCACCTGTGACTCTCACACTGAAGGCTAGAGAAATAATGCATCAGAGGTTATATGTGGAGCTATGTGTGGTGTGTGGTGTGTAGATGTATGAGCCACGAGTGTGTGTGGTAGAAATAATGTATGGCTGCTGTCATGCCCAGAGGTCTCTGTTTAGTATGAGAGAATCACTGAGCTGTGTTGCAGGCAGATTTCAATTGAGATGGTTTGGATACTTTACATAATGTTGGCATGTAGGGTAAATAATTCAACTCAGAGCAACAGTCAAGAATCTGTCCGTGACATATTGCTTTTGCCTTCCTCGGAGTAACACGGCTGTTTAACATGCGTATTCCATAACAAAGCACATACACATCCTGTGAACCATACAACTGTGCTGTAGGACTATGAGTTGAATATTGTTCTGCCGGAGTGCTGAAAAACATTAAAAAGCATTCTAAAACCTGGATGTATCGCTGATTGTAATAAAACATTAAAGCCACCATAAGTACTAAAACATTACTTTAAGATTCTGACTGAACTGACACAGAACTCCATTCTCCCACAGACTTTTCTTAACATCCTGCACTGGGTAACACTGATATCACATTCAGCCCTCCTCTCCCAAGTCTGCGAAACACATTTCCCATTTTTCAAAGTCTCGAATCGCACGAGGCAAATCACTGGGAACTAGCATGACAACATTCGAGCTCTGAGCAGACAATATATCCCGAGGCCGTTCCTCCATCCAACACGCTGCTGAATGAAAGACAGAAGCTTGCAAAGCGACGAGCACCATGAAATAGCCCTGTAATGAACAATTGCTCTCATATGAGAAGGCCTGTTCAGTCAGGACCAACCATTAGACCCGTCTCTCTCTGTTCACTCCTAATCGATTAGTACAGTCCGCAAAGCATTGATCAGCGGCTTGCTTTCAAGTGTCGGGATGGTGGAGAGGTGGGGAAAATACAGATTTAAGGGTACTGGAACAGGTTTAGAAAGAAGCTAACTAAAATCTCCATTTGTGGTTCTGAATAAAGTGAAGCAT